TCCATATCGTAGACCCTGTCGAGCTCCTCCATCCCCTCGGCAGCCAGACATGGTGGAGCATCTGGCACCAGGCCCTCACTCGATGAATCTGTGAGAACCGGTAGAGGGCTGGGTTCCATATGTAGAGACCTAAGCGGATCCCACGTATCCCATGTATCCCATGTGTAAAGTCCAAGGTATAGCCTCAGAGCCCCTGTTTCCCTGGCAGACTGCTGGGAACGTCTGCTATTTTTCCAAGAGGGTTACAATCACCTCTAATCTTCCATATGCGCCTAAACGGTTGTTCATATGTGTAAGTGCTTCCGAAACCTCCTTCGGGAAGGATGGGGCTTTCGCAACATCCCTGTTCCAAGTGGAACGGGTACGTTTTCCCAGTGTTAACCAGTCTTACCGAGTAGGTAGTGCCATAGCAGCAGTAGCTGGCCTTTTTGTGGTAAGCCCTGGCCTGCGCCAAAAAGTAGGGGTGCAGGAAGCTTCGTCGACGTCTAGAGTGATCGACTGAAAGGGAACGTCTCGGTTACATATGGTAACCCTCATTCCCGTCACGTCCCGTCGCCAGAGCTCCTGTACCACCGCTGAGCGGCGGGGTCACCGGCTTGGCTCCTCAGCGAAAAGCTGAATATGCACTGCACCAGCTGCCCACTTATACTCACGCTGTGATCAGCGACAGCTGGATGCAATAATCGCATGCCATTGTGCATTGGCTCGTTTAGTTTACAATCTAAGTGGATTGGTCTCTCTAAGCGAAATCCCAATTCGTCGGTCATCCGACGTGACGTCTCCGTTCCCTCCTTCAGGGAACGAGGGTTACCATACGTAACCGAGACGTTATTTTGAATATTAGCTTGCTATGTTCACTTACTCGAAGACAACCGTTATCTAACATGCTGTCTCATTTTGCACGGCTGTTGAAATAGCACAAGCTCATAGATCGAATGCTGAGTCCCAGTCCTGAAGAGAGACCAGACGCCTCAGAGCTGATCAGAGAGATGAAAGGTGATCCCAGTGACTTCATTTCAGGGTAAGCATATTGAACCTGACAGGTTTGTGTCCACCAGAAGTATCTAGTTTAATTAATTCAGATATAACAGAGAAATGGTTTAAATTAATGTTTTGTTATAGGATAATGCATAATGATTTTCTGCTGTATATTGCTTTTTGATGTTTGCATCATCTATAGATTGTCTGGACACAAAGCTTCAGGACCTCAGACCAGCTCTTTGTCTGTCATGGATGCCGGCAGACGGGGAATGTCGTCTCTAAGCAGAGGATGGCCCACTGGATAGTGGATGCCATCACCCTGGCTTATCAGGCACAGGGTATGCTCTGCCCAATCAGGTTACGAGCTCACTCAACTAGAAGTGTTGCATCCACCTGGGTACTAGCTCGTGGCGCCTCGCTGGCTGGGCGACCCCCAACACGTTCGCTAGATTCTATAGCCTTTGTGTGGAGCCGGTATCCTCCTGTGTTCTCACCTCAAATGGGTAGAAGCACTGAGTGGCCCCGGCTTCGGGTCGGCTTGCTAAAACCACTCCATAGAGTCCATATCGTAGACCCTGTCGAGCTCCTCCATCCCCTCGGCAGCCAGACATGGTGGAGCATCTGGCACCAGGCCCTCACTCGATGAATCTGTGAGAACCGGTAGAGGGCTGGGTTCCATATGTAGAGACCTAAGCGGATCCCACGTATCCCATGTATCCCATGTGTAAAGTCCAAGGTATAGCCTCAGAGCCCCTGTTTCCCTGGCAGACTGCTGGGAACGTCTGCTATTTTTCCAAGAGGGTTACAATCACCTCTAATCTTCCATATGCGCCTAAACGGTTGTTCATATGTGTAAGTGCTTCCGAAACCTCCTTCGGGAAGGATGGGGCTTTCGCAACATCCCTGTTCCAAGTGGAACGGGTACGTTTTCCCAGTGTTAACCAGTCTTACCGAGTAGGTAGTGCCATAGCAGCAGTAGCTGGCCTTTTTGTGGTAAGCCCTGGCCTGCGCCAAAAAGTAGGGGTGCAGGAAGCTTCGTCGACGTCTAGAGTGATCGACTGAAAGGGAACGTCTCGGTTACATATGGTAACCCTCATTCCCGTCACGTCCCGTCGCCAGAGCTCCTGTACCACCGCTGAGCGGCGGGGTCACCGGCTTGGCTCCTCAGCGAAAAGCTGAATATGCACTGCACCAGCTGCCCACTTATACTCACGCTGTGATCAGCGACAGCTGGATGCAATAATCGCATGCCATTGTGCATTGGCTCGTTTAGTTTACAATCTAAGTGGATTGGTCTCTCTAAGCGAAATCCCAATTCGTCGGTCATCCGACGTGACGTCTCCGTTCCCTCCTTCAGGGAACGAGGGTTACCATACGTAACCGAGACGTTATTTTGAATATTAGCTTGCTATGTTCACTTACTCGAAGACAACCGTTATCTAACATGCTGTCTCATTTTGCACGGCTGTTGAAATAGCACAAGCTCATAGATCGAATGCTGAGTCCCAGTCCTGAAGAGAGACCAGACGCCTCAGAGCTGATCAGAGAGATGAAAGGTGATCCCAGTGACTTCATTTCAGGGTAAGCATATTGAACCTGACAGGTTTGTGTCCACCAGAAGTATCTAGTTTAATTAATTCAGATATAACAGAGAAATGGTTTAAATTAATGTTTTGTTATAGGATAATGCATAATGATTTTCTGCTGTATATTGCTTTTTGATGTTTGCATCATCTATAGATTGTCTGATAGTTTTGATGTGATCGCAAAACTTGGTCAAGGAAGCTATGGCTGCGTTTATAAAGTAAAACACATATATGATGACAAGATCTACGCTGTAAAGAGAGTTATCTTAAACGGGTAAGTTTATACAAGTCATAATTAATTAATTTATATATTCATTCATTCATTATTTTTATTGATTTAATTTATTCATTAGTTTGTTTATTTATTGTGTTTATTTGTTCATTCATTCCTTATTTATTTTATGTATTTCTTTATTTATTAATTCATTACTTTTAATTTATTTATTTTTATTCATTCTTTGATTTAAAACAGGAACGCTGATTCTGAGGTGAAGGCACTGGCCCGACTAGATCACCCAAACATAGTACGGTACATCACATGCTGGCCAGGTTCTGACAACTGGACGTCAAACCAAGAAATAAACCAAGTGTCCAAGTAAGCAAGTCTCCAGCACTTTTGATGAAACATTCAGTGCTTCTCAAAAGTCACGTTTATGCATTTTATGTTCAGTACACCAGGTTCTTCATCGGATGTAGGGATCTTTGAGAGAGACAGCTGTGAAGAGAGGGATGATGATGATGATGATGATGAAAATGACACATCAGGAGTGGAAAGTCTGAGTGTAACAGAGTATGTTCAGCAGTCTTCTTATGAGACACTTTATATGGTAAACTAGTAATACAGAGTTAGCTCAAATGGTCAGGGGTTTGATTCCCAGAATGCATCTACTGATAAAATGAAGCTTAATTGACTTCAAGATGTACTTTAAATCTCTTTGGATAAAAGTATCTGCCAAATGCATGAATGTAAATGTAACTGTAATTGTGTCTGTCCTCAGATCAGCATCCGCTGCTGAGCCCACAGGAAGCAACAGAACTGACCGTTTAGACTCTTCAAATCAGTGAGTTTATTTGTTGATTTAAATTTATGACACAACAACTGTGTTTTCCTTGATCTTTTAAAATAACAGATTTCATTTTACTGTAACTTTCAAATCTGTCCAAAAAGGCCATCTGTTGAAACCAAACTACTGCTCTGCATTTCCCTCTGAAGAATAACAATATTAGAAACAAGTTGCGATTTATTTTGAAAAAGAGCCCCGTTCATTTTGTGTCTGATCTGAACAGAGTGGCACATGTCAAGATTTGGTTTATGAATCTGTCATAATGTGATGAAAAGGGCTGTTATTGAAGGGTGGAGCAGTTTAAACCGTTAAGTCAGATGCAAACCCTGAAAAAATGCTGTTACTCGTGCATATATTCACAGCAAAGAGCAATATATAAAAATTCTTTAAAATCATGATCATGGATGCAATATCACAAACTTTCTATAATTTTGGTCACATAAATCTAAGACTTATATACAGTTACCACTAAAATATACTGTAAGGTGCCTCAAAGTTGCAGATGGTTTGGTTACAATATAACCTTATTTAATGTTAAGGGCCAGATAAAAGAGTGGAATATCACTGTTTAAAAAATAAATTATGAATGATTTGGTGCAACTTGTTAATAAAAATAAAAAGTGTATCTTTTAAGACAATACCTCACAATGTTAAATATTCATCCATGGGTCATGCCTGTTCTTTCTCTCTCTCTATTTCAGCAGCGGGACATATTTATTTATTCAGATGGAGTTCTGCGAGGGAGGAACACTGACTGATTGGATACAGAAAAGAAATTATCAGAAAAAACAGAGAACCACAGTGGAAATAAATAAAATATTTTATGAAATTATCACTGGAGTGGAATTCATCCATGCAAACAAGCTCATCCACAGAGACTTGAAGGTATTTCATTATATTTACTGGGAGAATGGTTATGCCTTTTCCAGATCTTTACGCAAGTGTACTTTCCTTTTAGCCTGATAACATACTGTTTGGTGCTGATGGTAAAGTGAAGATCGGAGACTTTGGGCTGGTGGCGGCTCAGACGGATCAAAATGGTGACCCTGTAGAGAGGTCAAACAGAGGAACACTATCTTATATGAGTCCTGAACAGGTGATGCATTTTTATTGCTTTACAGCTTAGGGTCCTTTATGCTCATAAATAACCCAAGAACTACATTTACAGTTTTATATTTTACAGTTAGATTTGTAAAAATGTATTTAGTGTATTGTATTTGCAAAACATTGAATGAATGAATAAATAAGAAAATAAATAAATACTAATAAAATTAAAAACATTGTTTACTTCAGGAAAATGAGAAGAATTATGATGAAAAAACAGACATTTTTCCCCTGGGACTCGTATGGTTTGAGATGCTCTGGAAAATATCTACTGGTATGGAAAGAGAGAAGGTCAGTAGTCTTTGATGATAGTCATCAGTAGAGACTGTATTCAATGTCTTTACAGACATTTACAAAAACAAAATCTTTAATTCATTCACTCTGTCTGTCTTGCCATTGCAGCTGTGGAAAGACCTGAAAAATCAAAGGTTTCCAAAAGGTTTCAGTCAGAGTTTTTCGACTGAGGTAAGGAACTTGATTTACCTTCTGATAAATATTGATTGGACCGAGTTTAGCCTATAATATAGCCCTTTATTATGCTTCTTTTTCAGAGTAAATTCATCATGAAGATGTTGTCGTATTCACCAGAGCACAGGCCACATGCAAAAGACGTAAAAGAAAAGCTGGAGAAGTTTTTCCATCTGGATCAGAATGTGTTAAGCCAGAAAACCATCTGAGATGTTTGTGCATAGAAACCGTCTCAGCAGTTTGGTCAGGTCCTTTCAGAATAATGAACTACCACAGAGTACTTCTGACAGGTGACAACGTTTCTATTTTGATGATTTCATGGATTTGTTCATGATTTAATGATTAACTATTTAATGATGTCTGATTAAGGTGATAAAATAAACTCATGAAATGTAAACTTTGGGGAGTGGTTTTTATAAACAAAATATGAGAATAGCTTTTGAAGGATCTAAGGATCAATTCAATTCTAAGGATCCTCGAATGCAGTCGGTGTGTGTTTTGCTTCAAGAGAGCAACCATACATTTGTTTTGTGTTTTACATTCTTTCTCTTATATTCATTTATTCATAATCATTTTATTCATTTAATCATATAATCATTTAAATACTCATTTCATTGATTTATTAACTGATTAATCATTTATATTATATTATTGTTTTTTATATTACTTTTTTCATTGTTGTTTAGTCTTATGACTGTGTGCTTTCGAGGGATGTTTGTCTTCATGAATAAGAGATAAGTGGGGAGGTTTATGGAAATTCAAGGTTTATGGAATGTTGTTGTGAAGCAGTTTGGTGTAATACTACTTGTTTGACTTGTGTTCATCAGACGAAGTCTGAGCATTGAGTCATACGCAAATAAGATTATTAAATAAACTTTGCTCCTTTTTACTATCATCACTTCGTCTCCTGCTTCTGCTCTTCACTGGCTTTGCTCAGTCAACTTCTTGGCTGATAGAAGACTGTTAATACAGTTTTGGGTATTTTGGGTAACAGACAAGACCTCCTGTTAACAGGTTTTAGGTATCAGGATCAGGCGTCCGGGGCTGGATCAGATATTTCTGGCATGAAGGCATGATTTAACAATTTCTACTAGATTTATTGTAGCATATTTTAAATATTTGAGTCTCATTTTGTTTTTATTGTAAAAATACATTATAATGATGTTGTTATGGTACTTTTACAACCATTAACGTAATTTCACAACATTTCTGTAATGTTGGCTGCATAAAATTAAGATGTATTTGCATCTTAGATGTAATTGCAACTAAAATATGTTTCTCAAAACCGAGAAACCAAATTGCAACCATAATGCAATATTGTGTAATGTGAAAACATTTTGTGCTTGTAGGTTTGTTTACGCATTAAACTCGTGGCCACGAGAAAAATATGTAGTCCTCAACATAGCATCTCCAGGCCACGACTTCACATCTCATGGCCACAACATAAGGATGTCGCGTTACCTCGACAAAACGATCTCATGAGGCCTGTTTGAGATGCGCCTCGCCTCGCCTGAAATGTAGGCGAGAGTAGACGGCTGCAGTGAGGGGAGGAGTGAAATAAGCGCAGTCAAGCCGGACAGTTCTGACCTCTCGAAGTGGAGCAGATACCAACGAGATCAAAGGCAGATATTGCGTTATTCACACTTACATGCTGTGCTGCTAATAGACACGATATAATTTCAGTTCTGTTGCTTTTATATGAAAATAAATATTATGAACAAGACACTCAAAGTGCTTGCTATTTAATTCCATACGAAAGGTGTATTTATCATTCATTTTTACTTTAATACAAACATGTATTTCAGATTTTTATAGAAATATGACAACAATCACATATCTCACACAGAGATCGCGCTGTCATAGTGTTTGGGAACATTCATGCATAATTTAAATACATAATCATATGAAATCAGATAAAAATAAAATATTTTAGAAGAGAACTCAACATCACGGTTGTCTGAACCAATGAGCTTTAAGCTGTGTCGTCAGTCAGTCGTTTCCCATCATGCTTTTGATCAGCGCAGTCGGTGGAGAGCAACTGCACAATCTGACACAGCCGCACAGAGTTTTTTGGCACACGTCAGCGTGACATCAGAGCAAGTCTGACGTAACTCCAAGAGTGTCTGTCTGTGGACTGCAAGAGAGCTACAGCAGCACCTGGACCTCCTGCACACCTTCTGTCAGACATGGGCCTTGTCAGTTCACCTTAAAAAGACTAAAATTATGATATTCCAAAAAAGCCGTTACGAAACCAAAGTTACGAAAGTTAACAAAAACCAAAATTACAGTTTCAAATTAAACTGGAAGGGGGCTTAACTTGAAGTTGTCCAAATCACACAGAACCATACGAGAAGTCAAAACGAGATGTTGTTGGCAAGATGGCCGCTTGTATAGAGACAAAGGTGAGAATTTTTTTTGTCCCGAAATAACCGTTCAAATTGAAGCGTGTAAGTTATTTTCATACAGTGGTATTGTTTATGGAGTTAATAATCTATTAAAACTAAGGTGTAATGTAAGCATTATATAAGCAAAAGGTGTAAAGACGCTATCCCCCAGTTTCACAGACAAGGCTGGTCCCAGACTAAAATGCATGTCTGGGCTGTTTTAACTGAAAGCAACTTGAACTGACTGATCTTAAAATATATATTTTTTGTCTCAAGATGCACATCAGTAGTGTTTTTATCCAAGGCACATTTATAAAAGCTACTTAAATGTCCTAATTGAACTAT